AATCGAACAGCCTAAGAGTGCGAAGAAGAACTAACTCGCATTGATTAGTGCCACCTGTGGGTTGAATCATTGCTAGTTAAATTAATTGATGGAATTGGATTGTTAAAATATTAGAACGGGATTAATTTGTGGGTAGTAGTTGACTGATTAGATTTATTTATTAATTAGAGGGGAGGGAGTGTTTACTACTCAGTTGTAATTTACTAACAGTTAATTAATTAGGAGTATTAAATTAGGGGAACTAAGTACCCTATGAGTGCCCAGCTGATTAGGGGGGACTGTTAAGGGTGACAATCTGATTTCATATGGTAAGCAGTGGGAGGGTTACTATGGGGATCGTGGATTGGTATGTCTAATTCCCCGGTGATTACTATTATCAGCTTAGGAAATAGGCTATTTCCCCCCTAGCCTTTATTGAATTTACTGGCAGGGAGAGAGAATACTACGATAGAAGGAAAGAATTAAAAGGGGGCTAGCTATCGGAGTAAAGGAGGGGTAATTAGTTAGGATTGTAGTGCCTTACTTAAACTGGATTAGGAATATTTAGCAGGAGATAGGGTTGTGAATAAACGGGTGGCCATTCCGAGTAAACGGCTTAGCAGGTGTGTACCCTTCCCAACTTCACTGGTGGATCTGTGGATGTGCCAAGTGGCAGTTGAAGACCATCAAGTGCAGAAGTGGCAGGGCAGGGATTTCAAGTTCTCTTGGGGAGGGGAAGGTATAGCGGTGGGGACAGGTGGAAATGGAAGGGAAGGGAGCAGAGAAACAGAGAAGCTCGGCCTCCTTCCAGCCTGCATCCCATCCCAAAGGTGACAGGTAGTGGGGCAGTGGAGAAGAACCCCTCTCCGACATTGGTGTTGTGTAATGCCAGGTCCATAAATAATAAGACCTCTGTTCTTCAAAATTTCATCGTGGATCAGGACGTGGACCTGGCGTGCGTGACCAAGACCTGGGTGCGAGATGGGGAGACAGTAGCGCTCTCCCAGATGGCTCCCCCGGGTTTCTCAGTCCTCCACCAATCCCGGACA